CACACACACACACACACACACACACACACACACCTAGCTTGGTTCATCTCTATGCACTCTCCAAGCACCTCCTGGCCTTATGTGGACATTTCCTCCTCTCTTTTCTGCTTCCCACTTCCTAGAAACCCATTAGCTAGAGAAAGATGCTGTAGATCACAGAGGGTCGTTTTGGTTTTTTTAAATACGTGCACATATTTATCCCCAGCTTTGCCCTGGAGTCCCTTCTTTCAAGGAGCTCTAGATGGAAGCCAGCCTTTCTTATGTCCTGGCCCTAGGCCCCACACCTTACTCATCTCTCTCCACTCTGCCATTCCAGAGTTTAAACACACTCCAACATTACCCCCATTACCACCACTAGTCGAAAACCACAAGCAGAGTGCCAAACTGGTATGCGCACTGTCCAAAGTGGTGATCTGGCCTCAGGCCTTCCAATCAAATGGCTTATCTACTTAATAAGCAGAAAGGAAGCCCCAACATAGATGCTCTTGAACACACCTATAATACCCCCAGGTCTATCTCAGAGGGAACCTGAGTACCACTCTCTACAGCATGACTGCCACAGGTCAGCAGAAGCAGCCACTCACATGGGGGAACCAGTCAGAAGACCTGATTCCAATGCAGGCTTCTCCTGACGGTCAGCCTTGAGTGACTGACTGTCTTGCCTTCTGAGTCTATGGTCCTCTTTCTGCAGGATGTACTTATTGACCTTCACTAGCCTATAGTGAGGGTCCTTCCTTCTCCCTTCATATTTTTATTTTAAAATTTACAAACATACAGGAGAGGTTGGGAGGGTGTCACAAACTGTACTATCTGCTTCCAGAACAGCATTTTTATATTTGATTTGTTTGCTTCACTGATAGAAATAGAAGCAAGGATATATATATATAATCTGACTAGATTATTAGAAATTAGTAGGTTCTACAGTTTTATCCTTAAGTATTTCAGCATTCAACCCTTCAGGTGAAGATCACTTTCCTAGGCGTGTTCGTGTGATGGTGCATGCCTTTAATCTCAGCACTCAGGAGGCTAAGGCAGGCAGGGATACATGAGACCTTGTCTCAAAAAACAAAATAACATCCTCCTATCTAATCACAATATCATTATCATCTCTTTTAAAATTCCATAGTAACCCTGCTATTTTAGAAGTTTGTTGCCCAAAAGAGATATTAATAGCAATTCCTCCAGAATTTTCTATTTTTAATAACAAACATTTATGGCTCACTTACTGTGTGCCAGATGATATGCTCTACATTGCATATTTATTTTAACCCCTGTGAGTTAAATGTTCTTCTAAAAATGTTTAAGTCTTTCTCTGTGTCTCTGTCTGTCTGCCCCCCCTCTCTCCTCCCTCTCTCTCTCTCTCTCTCTCTCTCTGTGTGTGTGTGTGTGATAAATTTGTGTTGTGAGAACCAACTTATGGATGCCACAGAGCCTGTGAGGAGGTCAGAGAGCAAACTTGAGGGTCCTCACTTTCCAGAGGGTCTTTTGCTTGTCATTGCAAACACTAGGCTAGCCAACCCATCTCACCGGTGCTATGAGCACTGGGGATGCCACATCTGGTTTTTTTACATAGACCTTGGAGACCTGAACTCAGTTTTTCAGGCTTGTACAGCAAACGCCTTACCTACTGAGTCCTCTCCCCAGCCCCATTTCCATGTTATAGTCATCTTTCTCTCATTTCCACTCTGCAAAGAGAGAAACTAAATCAGATGACCAAGGTCTCCTAGGAGAAGGATTTAGACAAAGGCAGTCAAGCTCTAGAGGCTGTGTGTGGCCTGTCCCCTAAGTACCCTGCCCCCTTTGCAGACCATAAGCTGGCAGAGAACCAACATCGCCAACTGCCAATTTTTCATAAGAGCACACTGGGTCTCTAAGGATAAGTGATATGCCAAAAGCAGCTAAAGGTGTAGATCCTGGTCTACCTTATAGCTCTGAAAGTGTTTTGGCATTAATGAACAAACCAGGACAGACTATGAATCCCATGACGGTCCTTGCTAACAAGCGAGCCCATCCTGCGGTGTCCATGTCCTCACGATCTCTCTCGCTTGACTTCTGTCATTAACTTGGCAATCATCTGGAAACCATTCTGTTTACCCAGTGGCTAGAAGGAAGCCATTCAACAAATCCACCCATTCATCGTACCTTTGTTGAGTACTAGACTGTATAGACTTGGGATATGGCAAGGACTAAATGCACAGGCTGTTCTTACTTGCAACATGTGAGAAAATAAGTTCAGCGCACACTTGTGGTCATTGCTAGAACGTAAAGTGAGTCGTGATATGGACCTAATGACAGAGGAAGATTATTTCTGAAGGAATAGTCAGGGAAAACTTTCTTACTAAGATCAAATTTGGGCAGAGGTCTGGGAAAAAAAGAGAAATATACATATCTAGGAATATACATACCTAGGAAAAAAGCAACATGGCAGAAAAGACAGAGCCCTGAAAAGGAGTAAGCCTAGGTGCCTAAAAATAGCTCCAAACTAGTGTTCATAGAACAGAGAGCAAGGAAAAGGAAGATGGGAATGTTTTTTAAGTGGAAAGTATCTAGGTTTTTTAGGGCCTTAAAGGTCCTGCTAAGAACTTTGGAGCATGGTCAAGGGAGTGAGCTAGCAAATTGTATAAAGTTTAGGGTAAAGACATGTCAATATTGAAGTCTTTTATATTTTGTTTTGGATGCTGGGGTTATAGGAGAGTCAAGTTTGAAAGTTTTGAGACCAATTAAATTAGTTCATTCAAGGAGCAGAGATAGATGAGACAGCTTAGGGTAGCGCGGGACACCGGAAGTAGCGAGTAGTCTTTCCAGACGCAATCGAAGGTCGTGTGGTGGCGGTGTGTGCAGAGCTTTAAATGTATGATCGGAATGAGTTCAAAATCGTCCCAGTGTGGAGACCTGAGTCATCCTGAAGAGAAACACTTCCACCTGCTGAAGAGACAGAGGGGAAAGTAGGGGCCGAATAAGCCCTGAAGAGAGGGGGTGCAGTTTGTGTTTGCTGAATTAGATTTGAAGTTTGATGTACATAGTATAGAGTGAATGAGAAGACATTTAGGAGTTAGGAGAGGGGTAAGAGTTAGAGATAAAACTTCTAGACCTACCAAGAGGTGGTGACGCATGCCTTTAATCCCAGCACTTGGGAGGCAGAGGCAGGTGAATCTCTGTGAGTTCAAGGCCAGCCTGGTCTACAAGAGCTAGTTCCAGGCTCCAAAGCCACAGAGAAACCCTGTCTTGGGAAAAAAAAAACTTCTAGACCTATCCAGACCCAAATGGGGATTAAAACCAAAGGACTAGCCAGACGTAGTGATGAACACCTTTAGAAGGCAGAGGCAGGAGGATCTCTGTGAGTTTAAGGTCAGCCTTGTCTGCATAGTAAGATTCATGACAGACAGAGCTACATAATAGAGAAAGTTTGTCTCAACCTCTTCCACAACCCCTCAAAAAACAATAGAAAATCTGTCAAGAACTAATCCTGAGTTGACCGCTTCTAGACTACAAGACATAAAAAGAGGCAACTGAGTCCAAGATGCAAGAGAACGACACCCTGGACGTCAGCAGAGAAGGCTGGGGAGGAAGCCTTACTCACGCTGCCCAATGTTGCTCCCACCAAACCCAAACAAGCAGTGAGAGCTGCCCATAGGATAGGGTGTGCTCTTGATTAGAGTGAGTTTGGAAGTTAGGATGGAGGAGAGAAAGTAACAAACTTGAGAGTAGCATGGTTGTCTGAGAGAAGTCCAGGAAGGTTCTTTTTGAAGATACACGAGAACTTGCTGGGCACTGACCAGAAGTCAGGGGAAGAGGGAAGCATCAAACATCAAGGGCTCAGAGATGAGCATGCAATTTCAGCAGCAAAGCTTTCCTTTTTTTTTTTTTTTTTGACAAGGTCTCACTGTATATCTTGGCAGTCTCATTCTACCTACCTAGACCAAACTGGCCTTGAACTCGCAAAGATCATCCTACCTCTGCCTCCAGGGTGCTGAGATTAAAGACTTGATGGGTCACTACACCTGGCCAGAGCAAACTCATAGCAGACCAACAGAGAGTGAAATGAAGGGATGACACAGAGGGTAGGACTGTAGGGAACAGCCAGCTTTCTACCACTGGTGGCGAAGGACCCGGACCAGTGGCCACATGACCAAGCTGATCAGATGTTCTACTGTGAAGAAAGATGAACACTAAGTTAGATGAGCAACAAGTCCATTCGACCTGCAGGTGGGCGGAGAGCTTGGCGGGCACCACGTGTGACGCTGCCTCGCTCCTAGGAGTCCTCTCCAGCGACGCTGTAGGACTAGGACGCCAAGGCCTTGAAGGTTGCAAGCACAGGGGGGCCCTTTCAACATCTAACCTTATTAGCAGGAAGAGACCTTACCAGCCTCAGCCCACTTCTTTGCTTTGCCTGTAGGGTAGGTCTAACAGCCTGGATAGCCCTCAAGGCTTGGAGACATCAGAATGGAAAGCCTATCAAGGAGAGAGCGTCACATCATGCTAACTCAGGCTAGAATAAGACACTGTAGGATGGAATGTTCCCACACCCCAATTGTCTGGGCTGTAACTCTAGAGGCATAGAGGCCTTGAGATTTAATCTGACTAATCGTTATTATCCAGATGCCTTGAGACAGCCCAGTCCCATGCAGGAGCCTGGGTCTTTGATGTTTTTGTCATAAATTAATGAGTTCATCCACAAAATAACATCAAAGACAAGCTACTAACTAATTCACTGTTATCATCTTCCAATCTGCGGCTGCGTTGGAAAGTCTCCAAAAGGAGGAGCGTGGCCAGAAAGAGAAACCAACTGAAAGATCTGGAAAGAGATGAGAGGAAAAATAAGTCCTGCAGAGGAGACGGCAGAGGAGCCAGGGAAAGCGCTGGCAAACGTCGGGGAAGGGGAGAAAGGGGAGGAAAGATGGGGCCTGGGAGGAAAGCCATCTCACAAGTGCTTGAGGGGAGACTGTGGCCTGGAAGGTCTTAGGGGTGTCATTGCGCAGAAGCACCAGAGACTGGGAGGAAGTGTGTGGTAGGAATCAGTGTCTCTGGAGCCAGATGGCATGGGATGGAGCCTCTGGCTCTGTTATTTACTGTGAAGTCATGTGATCATTCTCCCTTCCAACTAGAAGCCACTAAGTACAGGAAGCTTTCTCTAGATCTTACCTGACTTCCAAATCAAGCCTTTGAAAAGAAAACGGGGAAGGATTTATGTGGATACCCAACGGAATGTCAGTGACACTTCTTCCTGGCCCAGCAGGACTTCCTAAAGCACAGAAAAGATAGACACGGTTCAAGCATCAGTTCACCAGTCAGCAGATTGAGCATTTGCTACCCACCAGCCAGAAAGATGACCATGGGGTGTTCCCACCCCTACACAAACACCGAATTTCATCAGCAATGACCAAGGGTATGGTTTCGAAGACAGCTTTTTTTCTCTCTAAAATGCATGGTGAGGGGCTGGAGAGATGGCACAATGGGTAAGGCGCTTGCTTACTCGTGCCCTGCATGAGCATGAGGACCTGTGTCCAAAACCCCAGCATCAGCATTAAACACGGCTGCACACATCTATAACTGCAGTATTGCAGGGGAAAGGAAGAGTAGAGACGGAGAACCACCGGGTCTTGCTAGCCACAAGCTTAGAGGAAAATGATGAGCCCAGATTCAGTGAAACAACCTGTCTCAAGGGAATAAGGTAGACAGGACACACATGTGCACATATATACACCTATACATACATGCATACGCACATACCTAAAATACACACACACCAAAAAACTATGTTGACATTTAATCCCCATTGTATTAAGAAGACCAAGCAGGACTTTTAAGAGGTTATTAAGGCTCATGCATGTAAGAAAGTAATGGTTTAATGGGCTAGTGAGCTATTTTAAGATCTGCCCAGGGTTGGAGTGCTGGCCCCACAGTTAAGAGCACTGACTGCTCTTCCAGAAGACCCAGGTCTTCTCAGCACCCACATGGCAGCTCACAGCTATTTGTAACTCCAGTTCCAGGGGATCTGACACTTTCACACAGACATGTATGGAGGTAAAACACAAGAGCACATGAAATAAAAATAAATAATTGAAAAAGGAATGGATCTGTTGTAAAGCCAGTTGGACCAGGTCAGGCCTCTCCACATTCCCTGTCTCTCACCACATGATACTCTGCTGCCACAAGACCTTGCCAGCAAAGACACTTCCACCTCAGACTAGAACCATGCTCCAAAATGAACATCCTTTCATTGTAACTTACCCTGTCTGTAATGTGTCTATAGAAGAAAAACAGACTAGGAAGAGTGCTGACTCGTACCTTTACTCCCAGCACTTGAGAGGTGGGGCGGGAGTTCAAGGTCAGCCTCTGGTATGTACCAAGTTCAAAGCCAACCTGGTCTACAAGAGACCCTGCTACCAAACAAAGACCGAGAAAACCAGGGTCTGTGATAAATGCTAACATGAAGACAAAGAAAGCCCTGATGGGTGGATGGAGCCCATAAAGGTGTGTGGAATTTGAACAGCTTCTTCAAGGGTTAGCATCAGACTTCCAGACAGCAGCAGAAGCTAAGAATACTCGCTTACTACCTGGGGACTCAGAGTCTCTAGAACTGCAGACTGGATAAAGCAGCATCCAGGCAGAGACAAGGGCAACTACAAAGTCCCCAGAAACATGAATGAGGGGACTGCCCTAAAAATAGTGCCAGAGGAGGCAGACCATGACACATGTCTGCAAGTGGAGTCACTAGGAGGTGACTAAGCCCAAGTGGGGCTGCCTCCTTTTATAACCCCTCCCTTCTCCTCCAGGAAGTAGAGTGGGAGGGGAAGGACTCCGAGTAGAGTTTATAGCCATCAGAGGGACACACAGAGACCAGGGGAGAGCACCAGAAACTATTGGTCAAAGTATCTGCCTGTCATTACAACAGCCACTGTGCTGGAGGCTCCTGAAGGAGAGTCAGTCGTGAGTGATTGACAGCAGGGCCTTCCGTCCACATCAAGTAGACTGGCTGCAAACTCAGCTATCCCTGCAAACCACAGTCACTGGGAGAGACTGTGACTCCATGAAGGCAAGCTCTCAGGAAGCAAAGGCATGGGCAGGAAGGGTAAAATGTGCTTTTAAAGCATTGTCAATTTCAAGAACCAGCGGGGCTCATGCAGTTCAAAGCAACTTTAACTGAATAACCCTTTGTTCATACACAATCTCACATAAAAGAGCTATGAAAAAAATCCAAAGGAGGTGGATTTGGATAGAGGGAGATACGACTCATTTGCTCTCCTACCCCACCCTGCACCCCCACCCCCTCATCCCTGCCAGAGCTGCCAAGGTACCTCTCCCCACCAAGGTTCTGCAGAACAGTCCTTCTTAATCACTGACATAACACGAACCCATGTCTTTAACAATCCAAATGTATAAACCAGGCAGCGGTGGAGCACACCTTTAATTCCAACACTCCTGAAGCAGTGGCTGACAGTTCTCTGAGTTCAAGGTCAGCCTGGTCTATAGAGTAAATTCCAAGACAACCAGGGTTATATAGAGAAATCCTGTCTCAAAGGAAAAGAAAAAGGAAGAAGAAAGAAAGAAAAGAAAAGAAAAAGAAAAAAGAAAAGAAAATCCAAACATGCAGAAGGCTTTAGGGGAAAAGGTAAGTGGTCCAACCCACTCATTCTCACACCTTTCCATCCTATAACCAGAAGAAAAGACTGTTTCACTCTTTTAAGGATTTCCATTTAAAATTCTCCAAATACTCAAATACTCATCTTTAAGTTAGCAGATGATAGGTATAGATTTGTGATGCTACTTCCTCATGTATTAACTTTGGGAACCTTTTTCTGCTTTCTACAGAACAGAATAGGGTTCCCATTGCATAGATGGGAAAGGGAGATGGCTGTCCTAACTGCCCATATCAACACTAGAACTCCCACCTTGTAGCCATGTGTTAAAGTCTGCCAAGCCAAAGCCTTTCTTCAGTCACCCTGCCCACAGACAGAGCTTTCTAACTCCTGAAATACGGTTTTGGAATTTCTAGTCATTGATCAGGTCATAAGGAGGGCCCACACTGGAACATCTCCATAGCATTCCATGTTCTGCTAGCCAGTACCCGCTCTCTCTCTATACCAGCCAAGTCCGGCTCTCTACACCAGCCAGTGCCCGCTCTCTCTCTACGCTAGCCAGTGCCCACTCTCCTCTACACCAGCCAGTGCCCGCTCTCTCTCTACACTAGCCAGTGCCCGCTCTCTACACCAACCAGTGCCCTCTCTCTCTCTACACCAGCCAGTGCCCACTCTCTCTCTACGCTAGCCAGTGCCCACTCTCCTCTACACCAGCCAGTGCCCGCTCTCTACACCAACCAGTGTCCACTCTCCTCTACACCAGCCAGCGTCTGCTCTACCTCACATGCATCAGTCTTCCCTGTCTTCCTTCCCCAGAGCTTCCATCACCAAGAACTGTCACCTCACTTCATCGAGGCTACTGTGTAAGTTCCAGTCAGATCTGGTTCATGTCATGTGTTCCACATACAAGACCCAAAAAAGAAAAGAAAAGAAACACCCATGAGAACATGGGTGAAACTCAGGTATTCCTGCTATAGCTAATGCCATGAAAATGGGTCATTGTAGAAGGGTCAGCAGAACTGTAAGAGGGGCTGGCTACTGAGTGATAGGCACATGATGCCTCTGTGTGAGTCTGACTGTGCTCCCCTTTAGTTGGATGGCCATCAGTTAACCTCTACGAGTCCAGCTTCACTTAGGTAATGTGGGCACAATGTTCCTAAGTCACTGGAGCTCCATTAGGAGCTCTGGGGAGAGCCAGCTCTGGCTCCTGGCCTATAGCAGGTGTTTGGCAAAGCGGGAGGAAGGTAAGGAGTAAGAAGAAATCGATTGACAGCTGGACCCTGAGCCCAGGACTGTGGCAGAAGTTGAAAGATAAATCCCCCAGGAGGGGACAGAAAAACAGAGACAGATCTCAAGGGAAGTTCAAGAGCAACTGAATTGGTAGGGATTATATTGTGAAGTCTAGGGAGAGGGCAATTAGGAAGAGGAGCAGAGGGAGCAGGTAAACAGAATAACAGGGAGGGAGAGAGGGAGAGGGAGAGAGAGAGAGAGAGAGAGAGAGAGAGAGAGAGAGAGAGAGAGAGAGAAAGAGAGAGAGAGCAAAAGAGAAACTCCACAACTCCACCAGTCAGGGCATTTGGGCTGCAAATAGATTGTCCTATTAACACCATTTGCAGAGCAGACATTTAACTAACATAAGAAGTCTGGAGGATAGTGCTTCCAAAATTAGCCCAGTGGCTCACTAGTGTCCCCAAGAACCCAGGATTTTTCCATCCTTTCTCTACCAAGTCCTGAACAATTGGCTTCTCCCACGCAGAGTTACAATCCAGCTGCTGCTGCAGCAAATGCCACAATTTACAAGCATCGACAGCAGGAAGGAAGAGCGTAGTTCTTTTTCTCAGGGAATTAATCTTTCCCAGGAGCTTCCTATCAGACATTGCTTGTTTCATTGCCCATGCCTAGTACCAGTGAAGCCAGGACATATTATTGGACTCTAGAACGGAAGGGAAACAGAAAAAAAAAAGGTTGAAAACAGCCAGACTGGGTATGTGACCAACACTATCTGCCATGCTATTTGGCTATGAAATGTGAGGACCATTTCACTGAAGATAATACAGAAGAAGGGGTGGGGAGTGAGGTCCATAAGGAGAGAGGCAGGACCCATGCTGGAGAGAAGAGTGGGCAGGGCCCATGCTGGAGAGAAGAGTGGGCAGGGCCCATGCTGGAGGGAAGAACGGATTGTCTCTTTCTCTACAGTGAGCAAGAAGGCGAGCCTAGAAACAGATTCTGAAAACCAAACTGTGTCACTTAGAAGACTAGCAAGTTCCTCTCATAGCTCAGCTCTCTCCCCAGCTCAAGGAAACAGATTCTGAAGAGAAGGTAGTGCTTTTTCACCTCAGCAGAGCCAGAAATGAGACCAGGCATGGTGGCTCACGCCTGTAATCAGGAAGGAGAAAGAGGATGGGGAGTTCCAAGCCAACCTAGGCCACATAGCGAGACCCTGTCTCAACAAAATAAAACCAAACCAAAACCCAAAAGGTGCTACTTCAGGAAGCACAATGAGCCACACCCTCTGGATCAACAAACAATTCAAAGGACACACAAGGCAGACACTGGGAGGTGATGGGGACATTTTTGTTCATTGGCTGATGGGCACATTAGCTGCCTCAGTCATTTTGGAAAATAAGCCATATCCCAAATTCCCCTTTTAGATTCACAGCCTTGCATATGTGTGTTCAGTTATAGATGGGAATATTCACAGAGACATCCTGTAAAAGAATATTAAAACTGGAAACAACCAAAATATCCTGAGACAGGAATGTGAATAGTGAAGTCACTGGGGATCACACCATCGCAGTAGCAACGTGCATTGCATTAGTTCCAGAAGACACCATTCAGAAAAGGCAAACTGGTAGAGCTTATCCAGTGTGGTTAATATATAAAGTTCCACAATGTAAAAGCTAAAACAATATAATATGCTACTTAGTAAAATTTAACATGACTGTAAAATTACCAATGCAAGGAAACACACACACACACACACACACACACACACACACACACACACACACACCAAATTCAAGAAAATGATTAGCGGTAGGTGAACTCGGGGACATGTTAAAGAATAATCATTTTGCACACTGTGAAGATGTGTCTTTGCCAAAACACCTTCTTATTGTTTTAATAAAAGAGCTGGCTGGTCAGTAGGTAGGTAGGAGGTATAGGCGGGACAGAAAGATGCAGAAGATGCTGGGAAGAAGAAGAGCAGGGAATCTTGAGAGATGCAGTGAAAAGCAAGATGAAGGTGCCATGTTGAAAGAAGACAGATAAGAAACATGGGAAATTTAAAATGTAAGAGTTAACTAGCAATTATCCTGAGCTATTGGCTAAGCATTTGTAATTAATAATGGTTATTTGGGAATGACTGCCAAAACACAGAGAAGCTATGCCTACAGGGACAAGCGTCCTTAAGACTCCAGATAGGGAAGAAACCTCTTTAAGCCAGGTGTGGACCCAAAGGCTTTTGCTCCATTCTTATTCCTTATAGATTGCATAGCCCGGACATATCCTTTGTACTCATGGAAAAAATTACAATAATTAAAAGAAAGAATATAGAACATCAAAGTAGGATGAGGACAGGTGCAGTCTATTTTAAAGTTATAAACACTTTCCCCTGCACCAGCTAGAATCTGCAGAGCCCAGAAGCTACAGACCAGGTTGACTGAAGCCTGACTGGTTTTATCTGGTTCCAGTGGGCTGAGTGAGCTCCACATTTGAGGAAAGGAGAGATGGAGAATGGAGGCAGAGCCAGGGTATCTAGATGCTTCTCCTTGGGGTGTTAAAAGTGAGAAGAAGGAGACACAGAAAGACAATTATCACATGTACTCACTCATAGGTGGTTTTTAAACATAAAGCCAAGAAAACCAACCTACAAACCACAATCCCAGAGAACTTAGACAACAATGAGGACACTAAGAGAGACTTACATAGATCTAATCTACATGGGAAGTAAAAAGTAGAAAAAGACAAGATCTCCTGAGTAAATTGGGAGCATGGGGACCTTGGGGGAGGGTTGCAGAGGGCGAGAGGCAGCTAGGGGAGCAGAGAAAAATGCAGAGCTCAATAAAATCAATAAAAAATTAAATACAAAAAAAGTGAGAAGGAAAAAGACCCTGAAGCCCTTCCTAGTGAGCGGCTCAACCATTTCTATCACTCTCATTGAAGCTTCCTGCTTAGTTCAGAAATGGGCACTGATACCCCCATTCCAACAGCGAGAAGGCTAGAGCTGAACCAAATAGCTCATTCTTGTCTCAGACAGTGAACCCCCAATCTCAACGCAAGCACAATGACCTTCTCGCATCCCACCCAATAGACTCTCCCACCCAGGGCTTCCAACATCCTTCCTCTATCCCAGAAACCCCAGATCTTTTCCTGGAGTGTCTTGCCTACTTCCAACACTAACGTCACTTTCTAGGAGGCCTTTCTTGGCCGCTCTACTTCGTTCAGGGCCCTTTGCTGTTCTCCTTGCTTGAGCTCTGCCCCTTGCCCTGCCCCGGCTGTGACTGCCCACGTTACTAAGCTGTTTCCTCCACAAGCTCTTTGCTCTTCCCCAGAGCATCACATCCTAGAATGTCCCTCAATAGAGCATCGCGAAACTCTCTAGTCAGGCACATGGCAAGCGCTGATTAACTTTATGGAGTAAATAAAAAGCTGAACTCAGCTTGCAAAAGGCAGCTAATATGAAGACAGGTGGACAGGTTCCACCCGAGTCCCAGCTTAGAGCCTCTACCCACCTCTTCTGTGCCTAATCGGGCACATAACCCTCTCCACCTTCAGCCTGATATCCAGACAGCCATGAATACAGGAAGTATCATGGTCTTCCAGACGGCCCTGTTGCTGACAGGTCATGGCTCCCCTCAGTGGGAGCATGCACCTCCACCCCCACGCCTAAGGAGATCTTTCCATTAGCTTCTTGGCAGCCACCGTTCCAGAAAGATACCCCTAAATTGGAGGATGTTCAGGGATGAACTGTCTGAAACAATGTGTGGACGGGGGAATGGAATAATTACCGCAGATGAAAGGGGCCACACTCTGGCTTCTGCCAAGTTAAATGGGATCAGATAATTGCATGCAAGGCCTTCAAGGGTGTGAGGCCCTCGGAGGGAGAAGGTGCATTTGGGATGATGAGGATGGAATTATGTGAAATGGAACAAAATGAATCCCTGGGAATTTTAGGCTTAGTGGTAGGAACCATTTCCTCCCAGGGAAAGCTCTGAGGTTGGACACAGTTCTAAAGGAAGAAGTAGGTGCCAGCCTGGTGGCATTTAAGCCTGTTGTGAGCCAGATCCAGAGACTGAACATACAGCTGCCTCATTCCAAAAATCTGGGGCCAAGTATTGGCCAGGAGTAATTGGTGGTGGGGTAGTATGGTGGTCTTTCGAACAGGCT